GAATAATATGCAGATCATTTTTGATAGCTTTGTCTAGTAATTATTTTAAAAAAATAACAGACTGTTTTGTGATGTCAGTTGAAGGGTTGGCAGGTGGGATGTAACAATTGATAACTATCAGTTTTTATTTGTTCGCAAATTGAAGTTTTGTATAGATAATTCTATCTAGTTTAGAGTTATGAACAAAAAATATATTTAGCGATTGAAAGGCTAAAAGAGAGGCTGATACCTGTTCTAATTGATTGGGAGTTTTAATTGTTGCTAAAAAAGGTAATATAATCAGGAAAGTCTTAGTTGAAAATGGATGAGATTCCCTTAAAGTTAGTTTCTTATAAACCTATGATATCAAATTGATTAACTGAATATAAGGAAAAAGGTAATTTTGTTTTGTTGGATTATTTAAAGAATAGACATTATGAGTTACGATTTTAAGATTTGAAAGTGAAGAAGTATTAGAAATGGAGGTATCTGAATTATTATTGGTAGGGATAGTAATCATTATAATAATAAAATTATTATTAGAGGCTTCCGATGTAGTGTTTTATTGCCTTATCAAAATCATATTAATGGTTCAAAGATTTGCATGTCATATTTGTTGAGAATATTTTTGTTAAGGAGAGTGGTTTGAAAGTCGTGATAGGACTTAAGTAGTTTGTTTAGTATAGGAGTGAATTCTGATATACATTGTTGTTGTTTCTAACAGATGAGAATTAGCTATTTGTTTATTTGATTTTGCAAGTGAGCAGTACAGAGATCAGTATTAATAAATGGAGATTTTTGATCTACTTTAGTGGCAGATTCTGGTAGATTATTATTAAAATCTTCTGCTTCTGCAAGGGTGATAACTTTAATATTTAGGGCCTTTTTAACAACAGCTAAACGTTGTTGTAAAACTTAAATTCGATATAAAAATCAGTAAATGTGTTTGAAATTGTGGTAAGTTGAGATGTAACAAATTGTTTGAAGTCTAGATCATGAATTGATCCACCTTGTGCGATTCCATTTTTTAATTTAGGGTAGAAAAAACCTCAGTTTTCATAAAATTGTCAATAGGTTCATATGCCTAGTGCAAATTATTTTCCACTTGAGGAGTAGTTAGACATGACTTGTTAGTATTAGATTTAGGTGGTAGAGGTGGGGGAGGTCTTCTTTTTGGGGATTCTTGAAAATTATTATTTTGTGAAAATTTGGTTACGTGAGCAAAAGTAATATTATCATGAACTGCATCTCTAATAAGACTACGTTTGGGAGTAGTATAGTTATTGAATTGGGCAAATTAAAATCATTAATAGAGATTTTTCATATTACAATCTTTAGGAAATTGTTAGCGTCTAGAACAGGAAGAAGCGTTGTGGTAAACAGATAAACAAATTGCACAAAGTTTGACTTTAGGGTCAGTCCATTCCAATTTTTTGTTGTTCAGGGTCAGGTTCTTAATTTTTATAGTGTCCTGAGTGTCCTTTTTGTTAAAAAAATAGAAAATTGCATGTTGTAAGTAATTATAATTAGAGTGAGCTTTAGGAATAATTCATGCAATAGCGGAGACCATATTTTCAATATCTTAGAAGTCACGTAGTGTAATATTATGAGGCAAGTTGATAAATTTGGCTGAAAAAGCTAAACGAGCTTGAATTTCAGATCTTGAAAGGCTATATGGGTAGTATCAGATCATATCATTTAATAGTAAATGCTGTCTCTATTTTTTAGTTCTTCAAAATTTGCCTTTTCATCGAAGGTGATCGTAGCTTTCTACTAAAGATTTTTAGTTTCCATAGTAAAATAGACGATATTACCAAATTTGGAAAATAATTTGCGCAGTCTTATTTCAGTGGCGTCTAAAGGAATTTCTGTGACCATAATCGACTATTCAGATATATAAGGGGCTATTCTTTTTATGTCCAAAGGTTGAAACATAGTGATATTCATATTAGAAGATATAGTGTTGCAAAAGTTATCACGTTTCAGTTTTTCAATAAAGCAACTCTAATAATAGCTTGATCAGAATTGATAGGATGTTTCCCTTTTGTGGCATTAATAAATGAGTTATACTTATCATAGAACAGGTCAGTGATCTTTGTGATCTTTATTTGGGGGTTTAGATTATGGAATTTATCTATTGGAATGAATGCAAAAAATTTGATGACTTAGGTTGAAGGCACTTTGAAACCGATAGTTGAGTATCTAAGATATTTTTAGACACGTCAAAAGATTTATTAACATTAGTAGTTAGTATAGACACAGTTGTTTCAGAAGTTAAAATAACAGTTTCTGGACTTTTTTCTTTATCGAGGTTGTTAGTTGAACCTTTCTTGACTAGGTCAACTTTGATAGTATTAGTTTCTACTAGAAGGATGGTTGTAGTTGGTTCTTTTATATATATAAGAGAGAGGTCATTGTCTAAAGTTTGTTAAGTATTTTGTTTCTTTTTAGTAACTTGTCAGATATTGGTGACGTAAAGCGACTGTGGTTGGTATTCTTTCTTTCAGTTTTTTTTGGCATATTTGCAGATTTGTTAGAAAGGCAGAAAGAGTTTTTTACAAAAAAAAAATAAACAAAAAGTAAATAATATTTATATACTGTATATTGCTATTTTTAGATGATCAGATATAACATAAACAGTTCATATGATTGGATAATTTACAAGAATGCATAAATTGCAATAGATGGGTGGAAAAATATTTTTTTGCAAATTTTTATGAAATTCAAAGTGAACTTTACTTTTAATAAAAGTTTTAAATTTATCATTAATTATTATAATTAAAAGCACATTTGAAAAAGAATAAAATTCTGCATGAAAAACTGTAATTGTAACATTTTATTATTATATTTATTACTATTTTATGTAATCTTAAAAATACAATAAAATCAATAAAAAAAAAAATTTTTAAATTTATTCAAAAAAAAAATTAATTATAATAAAATAAAGTAATAACTTTTAAATACTTTTATTTGAAACTTTTTTTTTTTATAAAGTGTAGTAATTTTGAAATATATATTTATATTGATACAGTATTAATAAATTACATAAATAAATATTCAAAAAAAACAAAAAAATTTTGAGAATTAATACAGTTATGAAAAAAAAATCGAGATAAAAATTTATAGATAATTAATTTCAGATAAATAGAACATTTTTACTTAATATGCAGTAAGTAGTTTACTTTAACCAAAGTGATCAATTTATCCTATGAAGTTAAAAAAAAGGTCTGTGCTATTAATAAAGTTACAAAAACTCCATATATTACAACATGAATATTAATTTAATCAAGATTAAATTTATATATAAATAGTATTGAACCTGCTGATCAACTTTCACTTAGAAGTAAAAGATGATTAACTTTAATCAAAGTGCTCAAATTTCTTTGTGAAGTCAAAAAAGTATAACTTATTTAGTAAAGTTACAAAAAATTTATTTCTACAAGAATATTAATCCAGTCAATATAAAAATTAGATATAATAGTATTATACCTATTAAATAACTTTCACTTAAAGATAAAAGGTGATTGACTTTGTATCAAAGTGCTCAAATTTCGTCATGAAATCACTGTATTAATATTTATAAAAAAAAGATATAAAAATTAAAATTTATCAAAAAAAAATACATTTAATAAGAGTTACAAGTTCAAGTATTTAAGTTTAAAAAACTAATTTTTTTTAAAGATTATGTTAAATAAAATAAAAGTTTTTTTATTAAAAAAAAAAAAAAAAAAAAAAAAAAAAAAAAAAATATATATATATAAAAAAAAAAAAAATGAAGATGATTTATTATTTTAAAATAAATAAAAAAAAAAAAATATAATTATTTTATTAAATTTTTATTTTAAAAAAAAAAAAAAAAAAAAAAAAAAAAAAAAAAAAAAAGTTATTTCAAACTATTTTCTTAAAAAAAAAAAAAAATCAATATAGAACGCCAAAAAAGTTTTGAAAAGTCCGATTCAACTTTTTATACTTTTTATTCAATAAATTAACAAATAGGGATTTTTTATCAAATTATAATTTTTAATTGTTATTTGATCACCTAGTATTATTTGATGAATCTGTATCTTCTTTAAGATCTATTATTATGTTATGACTTATTAACGTAACATCTAACTTTTAATTAAATCAGCTGCTGACCTTTAATAGGCTATTAAGTAAATAATTGGAGGAAGAAATGATCACATCATTCAACTCATATATACATGTCATGAAAAGTCTTTGATGATCTAAACAATATAATTTCGACTTACTATATATAATTAATACCGCAAGAAGTTTTTAATAATTAGAAAATGAATAATTTCATAGTCATTGATCCTTAAAATGCGTGTGTCTTTTGAAAAATTGACAATGTTTTTTAAAAATTGAAATTTTTTTAAATTTTTCTAACTCAATAAATCTTAGATTACAAAGCTGTCAATGAAAACCGTTGAAAGGTAGCATCTTAATAAATTTTAAGTGATAAATCATCATCTATCAGTAAATTTCTCAATTTATCAATTTATCCAACACGATGGTTTATATAGTTATATCAAGCTAATTCGACTATATAAGCTATATACGTAACTTTTAGTTAATGCTATGAATTTGCTATCTTTTAAAATAATAGAAATTTTTTAAACGCAGCCTGATAATACTTAAGTTTAATTAATTCTTATATGTAAATTCAATTAGAGGTATGCATCATCAGATCAATGAAACGTTTTTACAGAAATGAATTATTTTAGTTTTTCAACTTTTGATAATTTTATAAATAAATTTACAGCCAATGTGAAATACCAAATAAAGATTAGGTTATTTTACGAGATCTTTAATAAGAAAAACTCATAAATAAACAATGTTGCTTATTAATCAAAAATATTTAAAACGATATACTATTTTCTCTTTTTTTCAATCTGACTATCGCTCTACTTACACTGGAAAGCCACCAGGACCAAAACTGGCACCCGTGCCACAAATTTTCATTATTATTGAGTCAGCTAACTATTTGAGTGATCTTTGTTTATAATCATATTCTCCCTTCATTGCCGCTGAATTATTTTCAACCATGTAATCGATTTTTGAATTGCATCTTCAAGTTTCACCTTGCTTGCTAGGTCAAGATTACCAGCAACTTGTTCGCTCTATTGTTCAGGGAAGATATTAATTCGGAATATTGATGTAAAATAAATATTAAACAAAAGCTTACATGAAGTATGTTACGTAAGTTATATGCATAACTTTCCAAAAGATTTCGTGCATGTATATCTTGTGCAATTTTCTCATCGTCTTCACGATATTTTTCCGCTTCGGCAACTATTATTACATAGTTTTGTTAATAAAAGACTTTTACATAAAAATTTCATCACAAAATTGTGGAATATGATTACATGCCCATACGTTCGATTTCTTCATTTGACAATCGACCTTTGTCATTCGTGATGGTCATTTTCTTCGATCTTCCAGTTCTTTTATCAACAGCGGATACCTACAACCAAATTAAGTTAATACTATATTATGAAATGACAACAAGTATAATTAATGAATATCCAATACATGCGTTTAAGATACCATCTGCTTCTATATCAAAGGTAACTTTGATTTTTGGAACACCCTTTGGTGCTGGATGAATTTCAGACAATTTGAATTCTCAAAGCAAATTGTTATCCTTGATGTAGGCACGTTCACCTTCATAAATTCGAATAAGCATTTCCGATTGATTGTCAAAACTGTTGAAATAATTTCGGATTTCTTAATAGGTACTGTAGTATTGCGTTTAATAAGTGGTTTCATGATACCGCCAGTAGTTTCAATACCCAGAGATAAAGCAGCGATATCGAGTAAAAGTAAATCTTGAGTCTTTTTAGAAGTATCACCAGATAAAATAGCAGCCTGAATGGCGGCACCATAGGCCATGGCTTCATCAGGATTAACAGATTTGTTTGGTTCTTTATAATTGAAGAACTCAGATACCATTTTTTGAATTTTAGGAATACGTGTTGAACCACCAACTAGAATAATTGACTTTTGTCTAATTTGGAATCTCGAAGTACTTTTTCAACATGTTCATTGTAGATTGAAACAAGTCTTGATTCAATACTTCAAATTTCGCACGTGTTAAGGAGGTATAAAAATCGATACCTTTGAAAAGGGAATCTATTTCTATGGAAGCTTTTAATGATGATGAAAGTTCACGCTTTGCACGTTCACAAGCTGTCCTTAATCGACGGAAAGCACGTGCATTCGTTGTAAGATCTTCCTTAAATTTTCAGTTGAATTCTAGTACAAAATGATTTACAAGTCGATTGTCGAAATCTTCACCGCCAAGATGTGTGTCACCAGCAACGGCTTTTACTTCAAAAATTCCTTCCACCACCTAAATCATAGATAAGAACGTTTCGTTCACCACAAGCTTTTGTATTCAAACCGTAAGCAATAGCCGCCGCGGTTGCTTCATTAATTATGCGCAATACCTTCAAACCAGCGATTTCACCAGCATCTTTTATTGCTTGACGTTGAGAATCATTAAAGAAAGCAGGTGAAGTAATTACGGCATTATTGACTTTTGTACCAAGGTAAGCTTCTGCAATTTCCTTTAACTTTACCAAGATCATAGAAGAAATTTCTTCGGGTGTGAAATCTTTCTTTTCGCCTTTGAATCTGACTTGGATATATGGCTTTCCATTTTTTTCGATGATTTTAAATGGCCAATGCTTATAAAAAAAGATAATTATAAATGCATTAAATGCATTGTAGATTAAATTCGTATCATTGATGATATAATTTTTACCTTAATATCGGATTGAATAACTTCATCGTTAAAATTACGTCCAATGAGACGTTTAACATTAAATACAGTATTATATGGGTTCATATTAACTTGATTTTTGGCAGCATCACCGATAAGGCGTTCTGTTTCGGTGAAAGCGACATACGAAGGTGTCGTACGAAGACCCTGGTCATTAGTAATAATTTCAATTCGATCGTTTTTCCAAACTCCAACGCAGGAATATGTCGAACCCAAATCAATTCCAACTAAATTTAACATGAGAAAATTTATAAAATTGTGAATTTCCGTATTCAATGAATAAAAAAGTTTTTTTTATGTATATATACCAGCATTTCCACTCGACATTATAATAAATATAAGATAGAATTATAGTATTTAGATTAAAAAAAAATGGTTTCATTCAAATATACAAAAGGATACAGGACCCATACGATGTAATCGAGAAAAAGTCAAATTTATGAGTATTTATTTAGAATGGATAAATATGGAATTTTTGACTCCCATATGACCAATTTAAAACCTGATTTGTTGTTCATAAAGGTTAGATCCTAGAAAATCCGCAGGTTTTTTGAACCTTATAAATGGATAAGAAAAAGAAATTTCAACGAATGATTTTTTTTTCACATCGGTTATAAAATAGTTTATTATTTATAATTTATTTTATACTTTTCTTTTCTTTAACTATCTAGAAGAAGTCTTTCGCTTGATTCTTTTTGTTAAAATGTTTTTTGTATAATAATTTAACTTTTAATAAAAACTCAAATAATTTAATTGCATTTGATGAAAAAATTAATCTAATTTTCGCTTTATTTTTATCTTTTTAATTCTTAATTTTTCTTTTTCTTTTCAGATTTATTCATTTAAGCTGTAGCGATTGGAATTTTTTTCGGGGGGTTTAGCCTTTATTTAAAGAACGATTGTGCTATCTTATTCAAATAAACTTTATAATCTTTACGGCTTTTTTTTAAAAAATTCAAATGGATTATATTATGGATTATATTAAATTAAAGATTTTAAGGAGACAAAAATTGATTCTAATAATTTTAATTACGATACAATAAACGTTGCTTAACTTTATTTGGAATCGGCTTGATTTTCCAAATAAGATCATACAATTTGAATCATATTTTGCTGCGTATCGTTTCTATCTAGTGACTACAAATGAAAAAAAAATAAAATATCAACATGAAAAAAATTTTTACACCATCTTACGTAATTTTTGATGGTAACGGTCGGTCGTGGTCAACGGTCGGTCAACGGTCGGTCAAAGGCCTATGACCGACCGATATCGGTCACGGTTATGACCAGTCATGACCATGACCATTAGTATCCCTATACGTTATCCAACGCGTAAAATTGAGTATTGAGCTACGTCACATTTTTTTACTCCAATTTTTAATTGGCAGGTTTTGTCGTATACTTTTAAATTTTTCAGCATCCATGTGTAGTAATTACGCTTGTAAAGAATTCTCTTAATACTCACACTGACTCCATGTATTTATTGTTCAAGTAAGTACAATACTGTTCATATATGTATATCGTCAATTGGACATTCTAAATGGAACACTTCGGACTACCCCGAATGACACCTTCTAATGGCCATTTAAAGACAACGAAATTATTTCTATATAAAAGTTACTACTACGTAATACATAAAGGTGATGATAGAAATGTGACTGGCCGAGTCATAATTGGTTCGGAGAAATTAAATAAACTGGAAATTATGCATTGCATATTAAACAAGATTGATATTTTTATATTGAAATATGTTTATTTTATTTGATATATTAGTTTTTATTAATATCAATATATATAGCAGGAATTCGTTCTTTTTCAAAATTTATGTACAATAGTATTAGAATATCTAGGAAGTATAATGATGCTACTATCCTACAAATCGTTATAATTCCCAAGTTTTATATAAATCGTTTTTTTCTTGTTTTTGAATATAAGCCCGAATCCCTACAAAAATAAAAAAAGTCAGCCTCATTTACAATAATTAGTAACGTAACTTAAATTTTACATGATTTAATCGACTATTTTTGTTAAAAAAAATAAAATAAAATAAAATAAGATAAATAAAATAAAAAAAAAAGTTAATTGCGTTTGACCAGCGTTTGAGAAAGGAGGATTGGTCATTCACGTGCGTCAACTATAATCATAATATCTGAAAAACCTGAAAATTAAATTTAAAGATCAGTTCTATTTGAATTTCAATTTTTTTTTTTTTTTTTTTTTTATTTTCGAAACCGCATTTTCTAATTTTTAATTTTATAATATTTTTTTTTTTTCTTTAAAGTGGTCTTTTCTGGTTGGTGAAATTAAAATATAAGTGTACTTTTGGTGAAAATTTATTGGAATTGTCCTATAAATTGTATTTACATCGGTTCCTTCTGATTTTAGAATCCGGGCTGCGCCACTCGTATAAAAAGTATTAAATATAAAATCAATATTAATACTTTACAAAATTAACTTACTACTTAAATCATTAAAACTAAAATAAATAAAATAACTAAAAGATTTGTGGTAAAAAGGTGTCATTTGATACAAATGAGGCAAGATTTCTGTAAAATTATGTCTTGTGTGTCTTGGTAATCATATTTAATGATTACGCACAGCAAAAAAAAAAAATCTGTTTTAATCGGTAATTTACATTTTTCAATGGGATGACTGCTCATATAATGGCGCAGAAAGTTTCACATTAAAGCGTTTATGCGGATAATGGAGCAAAAATATTTTTACCCAAAGTGGCAGACATATTAACCGTAAACAGTTACTGTATATCACAATATTTCATGAAAATTCGGTGAAAATTCATAATTTCAGGCAGGACTGTAGTTTTCTATCTTACCTCGCTTTCAGATATTTCAGATGGTTTCCCTCAGAAACTCGTAAATTAATTTCATTGATTAAATACAAACAAAATTCGAATCTTGGCAAATATATCAGACATTATCATCCGAATTCGCTTACATACAGTGACTTCCATAATTTTTGTACAAATACGTTCTAAATTTATTATATTTTATTATATTATAATTCAATGGTCGGACAACATGCAAATTAATTATCATAAAGTCCGAGTCTTCCTTTATAATATACTCGAATTTAAATTTTTATTTTATTTATTATAATTTTTAAAAAATAAAAATCTTTAATAACCAAAATTTTCATGTTATAATACTTTATTAAAAAAAATCAAAATATATAAAATATAATTATTTTTTAAGTATGTCCTTAACTCTTAGTGCATTGTATCGATTATCTTTAAACAAAAGTCACATCTTCTTCAATCATTTCTCTACATACAGTAACTCTCCATGCAATTTTACCCATATCATTAAAGATTCTCAACAGTTTGTTTAATATATTGTTGTTGCAAAGATAAATTGGATGATTCCAACTTTATTCTCTACCTCATTTGAGCCATTATTATCAAGAATTTACTATCATATGACCACACCACAAATTTAGCCAGCTTTTATAATACTTTTGAGCAAAATTTTTCGAGAAATTCTAAGTCTCTTTAAGAGCATCAGTTATTTCTTTTTAACCTTATCTACAAAATCTTGTTATTTTAAGTACGCCGAATCATAAAAAATAATATTTTTATTAGAATTTAGGATTTGAATAGCATTTGAAACTTTACACAATTAAATAAGCTTGGCATATTCCTATCATGACGCTTTATAAATATTCTTGACGGCCTGTTTTTGGTATGACACAAAGCTGTTCGTTTTAATTTTTTAATTTTTTTTTTTTTTTGTTTATTACAAAAGCATGGATTAGAGGTTGGAACCGGCCAAAATTTCTTAACCGGTTAAAAATACATCCAACCTCTAGCATAGATTGCGAGCAATTGTACGACTTGGTAATCCTTCTTGAATAAGGACAAAAATACGTTCCCTCTAGTGAAGCGAAATCGCCTTCATAATAATTTTCTTCTTTTTTTAAAAATAAAGGCGTACAAATTGACTAATAGTGTTGCACCACGAAAAATATGCATATATTGAAATTTTTTAAAAGGCCAAATATAAAGTAATACTAAATTATTTCAGTATTAATTAATTACGTCGGATCGATTAGCTATGTAAATGTCCAACACTCATTGATGCTAGCTTACTAATTATCAGCAATAGACATATACTTAAGAACCTTTCAAAATTGCTGTGTTCGTCTATGGATAAAGAAATTTTTATTAGTTTTTTTAGATTTCTCTTATCTATATACTTTCTAAGCGTCTAAAAAAAAAAAAAAAATATTCACTTAACTTGTATATATGAATTAAAAGCGTTTACATAAAAAATAAATGATGAGTCCAGTTCTTGAAATGTGATGCATACTCGATAAAAAAAAAAAAAAAATTTAACTGCGGATATTTTGTGATGCCGGTTTTATCTAAAAAAAAAAAAATTTATAATTTTTGTTCTAAATTCTCGGTTAAACAAACATATTTAAAACGGTCACATATTTCGTCATTTATGGCATTTTACTCGAAACTACATTTGAAATTTTCATATGACAAGATAAGATTCATGTAACAACGTCGCACTAAATGGAAACAAAAACGTGGTGTAACACTACTATCATGCATGAATTTAATTTTTCTTAATGAATTTTTTTTTTTCAAATTTTAACTTTCTGTAAACTTTATTTAAAAAATGTCTATCGAATGTTTGCAAGGAATTACTGATGATTATGAAAAGTTATTTGAATATGACAAAAATTATGATGTCATTATTTATGCCGGTGAAAATGAAAACGGTAAAGAACTACATGCACTTTCAAATATTTTACGTTTCAGGTCGCAATATTTTTATGATGAATTAACTAAAGAAAATGTTGAGAAGAAGGCAGGAAAATTTATTTTAAAATTACCCAACATTTCTCCAAATCTTCTTAAAATTATCTTAAGGTAAATAAAGTCTTCAACTACGACAATAATATATACCAAGTTACTAATATCCCTTTAAATTTCAGATTTATATATTGCGGAAGGATTGACATGACGAAATTAGAAGGAACTGAAATATTTGATCTCTTAAAAGCGACAGGTGCACTTAATCTTCAATCATTAGTTCCCGAAATTGAAGATTATTTAATTAAAGACCATCATGAGTTTTTACAAAAAAATCCTATAGGAATACTTGAAACAATTTATCAACATGAGAATTTCACAAAATTACGAAATTTTTATTTTGAAAAAATTTGTGAAGACCCCAAGGAGCTTTTTAATTCTGATAAATTTATCAATATAAAAGCACCTTTATTAGAATTACTTTTAAAACGGGATGATTTAAGTCTGAAAGAAATTGATATTTGGGATAGTTTAATTAAGTGGGGCATTGCTCAGAGCCCTTCTATTTCTGTAGACTATAAAGAATGGAGAAATGAAGAAACTACAATTATGGAAAGAACTCTTCATAGATTTATCCCTTTAATTAGATTTCATCATATGTCTTCAGTTGATTTTCTTGAAAAAGTACTTCCTTACAGGGAAATATTACCAAAGGATTTGATTATTGACATCTTAGCATATGCTTCGGTACCAGATATGAAATTGAATATTAATATACAACCTCCTAGACAGTCAAAATATAATTCAGTTCTAGTTAACTCTCGGCATTTTGCTATATTTTCCAGTTGGATTGAAGAGAGTGAAAATAATATCAAGAAGACATATAGATTTTTTTATGGTTTGATTTATGGAAAAAAAAATGTCAATAATATGCTTTATGATTTTAAATTGCTTTATCGTGCCAGTAGGGATGGTAATACAATTGCAGCATTTCATCAAAAATGTGATAACCAAGGTGCCAATATTGTTGTAGTTAAAATTAACGGAACGGAACAAATAGTGGGAGGATATAATCCATTTGGGTGGGAAGGAAATGGAAATAAAGCTACCAAAGATAGTTTTATTTTCTCATTCGTGAATAGAACAAACCTTCAAACTGCAAAATTAGGTTATATTCAGGATGTTCGTTCTCAATATGCTATATATTGTCGTTCAGATCTTGGTCCATTTTTTGGTTATTCTTCTTCTGGTAAAGCTGATATTTATTGTAACCGTAGTAGCTGGGGTTCTAATAAACCAAGTTTTTATACTCAAATTGATATTCCGATAGGTCGGTTTCAAGTAGATGATTATGAGGTATTTCAGGTTAATAAAAGATAAATACATGCATTTTGTATCGTATATATATTTTTCTATGTTTATTTAAAATAAAAAATATTTACTTTGTAATCCATAAATACGTTATGTTTAATAAAGTATGATTATTTGTTATTAAGCAATGTATAAATCATCGCTTCTAACTTTATCAATTTCAGGATTATACCGGGTAGTTAATGGATTTATCGCAATTGTATTAAATAACCCGTCTAGGTTTTACATAAAATTATATTGTGAATAGATCACACCTTTCAAAAGCCGAATGTTTGACAGACCAATTGGACGACGGAATAATATCACCGGCACTTGGACAACAGGTCAACTTCCGAAACTAATGCGGTTGCTAAAAATGCATCATTTTTATTTCAAAGGGCCACTGAGCACCGGCAAGGATACTGATGATAATCGCCCTGTCATGTGGTAGGCATATACTTAATTGCGACAAAGCTGACCCATTAACTCTTAACTTCTTAACGATAAACATACTTGGAGTCAGTGCTGTTTACGGTTGCTGTTTAAATCCTGATACTTATGTCGTCACTTTTTATACCAAAAAGCTTTTGAAAAGTATCAGAAAACCAGAACATGTTTCGTCAAGTTGCAGATTGTTTAATCAGTAATCATTTCTCGGATATCTAAGAATCCAAATGTTAACTATGATTACCAGCAATTTCTCTTTGAATTATTTATAAAAATATTAACAGGTTAACTAATAAATTAGCTTATCCATATGAGTATATTGAACTAGAGAGGCCTAAACGTAATTTAATGATTCAATCCCATGAACGATACATCATCGTTCAAAAAGAACGATTCTTTATCGTTCTAATTGGTCATCATCGTTCTATTTGAACGATTTTTCATCGTTTTAATTGAGCAATTAAGATTCGTTTTAGTAAAACGATACATCGTTCAAGAAGAACGGTACATTATCGTTCAAAAAACGATACTACATCGTTCAATAAGAACGATGATACGCCATCGTTCAAGAAGAATCGTTCTTCTTGAACGATTATGGTAAATATTGTATTAAGTAGACCGATTTTTTATTTATTATTGAGACCGTAGTTCTAGGACCGCAAGTCCTAATTTAAATAGGGCCGCAGTCCTGGGACTTGGTCCTTGAGTCCTGTTCTATAACCCAAGTTTTATGAGACCGAGTTTCGGGACTGGACTAGGACCGGACTGAATTTTAACACCCCTAGTTTATAAAATAATGTTTGAGGATTTTTACTTTTTTATATTAAATTCAAATGGATTGCTTTGCTTAAACTTCAGATTAAAAGTCATTTATCAATGGAAATCTTGTGAAAGCATCAAACATAGGCTGTAGGATTTCTCATCATCATTAACTGCTTCAAACCAAATAATCATAAATCAAATTGCTGAGGGATTGGATTTATAATCAAAGACAAACTTTAAGACTACAATTTTTGCATCGACTTAATGAAGTTAGTAAATCGCTGATCAGTAAATTGAAATTATCAGTAGTTCATAATGAATCTCTTAAAAAATGATCTGACGTTTCATTGAGATACTTTGCGAAAGTTTTGATACTTTTACGCTGAACCATCAAAAGGTAAGATTTTCAATTACCCTCAAAATAGAATCCTTGTCAGGTACATTATTTACACCTTTTTGGAAATACTGATTTATCAGAGAAAATTCATAAATTATGTCCGAACCTGAATACCTCATGTCAGTTAACTTAAAATTTTTTTACAGTTAAAAGTCAAATTATTCATGGCCTTTACGTGATTTCCCTTGTTTGAACTATTGTATTCAAAGTTCACTTAACTTTTACAACAAATGCTAAAATATTATTCAGTTTTACTGACTTTTTTCACTCACACTTTAGTGAAAAAGATTCTTACTTGCACGAGGAACCAAGCTGTGTGACGCAACAATTCATTTTCAATTTCGAAGAGGGATAAATGGGTTAGCAGAATGTTTTTTCAGTTATGAGAGAATCAAATATGATCATATGTTGATGTTTTCTTTCCTAGCGGTATGTAAAAATAATATTGGTAATTCAATTTCAACATTGATTCTATAATTATTTTTCATGCACTGAAAACAATGATGTGACCTATATTCCCAAAAGGATTAAGATCTTAAAATTTAAGAGAATTTTTATCATAGTTGTTGATGTTTTCTTTCTTTTATTATTATTAACAAAGAATGAATATGTAATCTGATCGTCATGTATTATCTGTTTGTACTTTTTCGAAATAATTAAGATTTCTCATTATTTAATATACACTTTACCTGTGATTGTCCAGTGAAACTTTTTAACTCGCGTGTTGGTATGATATCGTTACACGTGACGAATATCGACAAATGTGTTTCTGTGAAACTCTATTCTTTGAAACATATAAGTCAAGATTTAATTTATAAATATAAAATTACAAAAGAAATAATTTAAAAAATTCGACTATCTGTCAAAAAAAAAATACTGATCAGGTTTCAAAATTATTTATCAAGCAATTTCCTTGTATTTATGAATTTTATAATAATGTATTGCTGCTGAAAATGTTCGACGAATTACATTGCATTGTTACTAGAAAATTTAATAAGTTGATGTGCATTTAATATTTTATGAAAAATAAACATTTTTAATTTTCTAATGATGTCTGACAATAAAAAAAAGTAGACGAAGTTGGTGAGTATGAAGTTTAGTGTATTTAAATAAGTTTGTCTGAAATTAAGCCTGGTATTCTATTAATTAATAATTATTCTCGTTATAATTTAAGTGTATGTACCCGTATCATGTGACATATATTTGTCACCGGTGTCATTTTTTCGGTGAAAAATTCTTATTCGTCATTCAATATCCGACACATGGTCGTCATACAGGTAATTTCTTAATTTCTTCATGTTAGTAAAAGTAATGTAATGCCGGCCGTATCTCGTGATTCGTGTACAATACACCCGTGTACAAATAGAAATTGCCATAATTTAAACTAAACAAAATTTTTTATTGCTTCATCTTAGGTTGCTGAAATTTAGATAGTAAATGTTAAAAAATTACCTAATAAATTTTATCATTCAAAATTAGTTATAAATTATATTTTAATTGGTATGCTGAAGCCTTTTTTTTTTAGACAAAAAAAATAATTTGTAAAATAATAAAAATATATAAATTTCTTTATAAATGTCATTTTATTATATAAGAAAGTATACTAACTTAACATACTTTACAATAACTATTGTTCCTGCGCAACAATTCATGAAAAATCGGAAACGAGGTTTGCTCGTGAAAATTAGTTCATTTTTTTTTTAATTTAAATAAAAGACACGGAATTTTCGATAATTTAATGTTCAAATGACTTTAACTGATTGGATTTTTGTCTAAATTTTAAACGGGTGTGCTTTATATAACGGTATTCTGTTTTTCAAATGATAATATGACAAAACACTTACTCCGGTCATTAGTGGGTGGAAATATCAAAAATTTTTGTATTAATTATAACTAATCATTCATTTAACGCATAGTATGTTGAAAACTTATGCGTCCATGGTCAGAACATACAAAAAAATCTTTAATTTGATTATCCTGATACTTCTCGACGGAATATCTCTATTTCATTATTTAATTTGATTAAAGTAAAATATTCGACGGACGTATAAATTGTTGCATCTTTGTGGAAATTTTATTAATGATATAAAATCATATTTACAATTTTTGGTTCTGACAAGAAAAAATTTGCCGAGATGGAATAATGCGCAGTGGTTTATCGGCAAAAATTAAATAAAAAAAAAAAAATACTAAATTTAAAAATAAACCGAAATCAACTTTTTTTAAAATTATAAAATAAAAACAGTATTATGATTTCATGCATGCACGTATGCATTATTTAATTACATGCAAAGCATTTATCGTAATCGTATTACTAAATTTTTTTTTTAAATAAAAATTTTAATAATGAAATTTTTTCGTCATTATTTTTAATATTAACTCATAATGTCGTCTCTGATTAATTAGAACGGTAGAATTTATTTTAAAATAAAAAGAAATTTAATCTTGGAATCAATTAATTTGAAAAGTAAATCTATTTTTTTTTTGTGCTTCATATGAAGATTCAAGATTTTTATGAGCCGTCAACATTCCCTCCTTTTGCAGCAATATTACATATTCGTATAATTTACCCAAATTATACAATGCAGTTTTATTGTCATCCTCTACAGCAGCCTTTTAATACCAAAAATTAATTGTATTTAAATCATTCAGTATTTCTTTTAACGAAAGATAACATTCTGTAAAAAAAAAAATCTTTATTTGTAGATCAAGTTAGTGAATAAATTATAATTTTTTATTAAATTATTAACTTCCTAGAGTATTTATAATATAACTCAAGATATATCACATGTTATTAAAAAATAGTATTTAATTTATATACCTGAAATTATTGACCGATGAATCAACAATAATTTTTCTTGCTGCCTCATTATATTATTCAATTTCTTTTTATTATTAAGTTCAGTTCCAATACCATTATATAACAGTATCCGAGTTGAACATTTCCTTCGATGTTTACATTTTCGGCTGATTTCTTATAAAATTCAAATGCTTTGATTTATCTTGTTCAGTGCCAATTCCTAATTCGTAGCATTATAATTTGCATACTTATCTCCTTGATCCGCTGCATTTTGATACCAATAAATGGCCTTTCTGATTATCTTTTTCTTCCTTCTCCATTCTATATAATTCACCAAGACTATTTTGTGCTGCGGGAAGTTCTCTCTTGTAAAATTCAAACGCCTTTTCTTTATTAATTTCAGTTCCAATTCCATAGAAATAAAGATTTTCCAAGTTGATGCTTGCAAAAAGTTCATTTTTTTCTGCCACTATTTTATATAACTCAAATGCCTTTTCTTTATTAATTTCGGTTCCAAACCCATCAGTTGACATTGTGCTTTAGGAATCTAAAAGTAGCTTTTTTATAATATTCAAAAGCTTTTAATTCATCATTTTCGACACTTAATCCATAAAAATAATAATTTTCAAGATTAAAGAGCGCAAGAATGTGCCTATTGTCAGCAGCTATTTATAATATTCAAAAGCTTTATCTAAATATCGTTCAACCTCTTTTCCATTTGGATAACAATGTCCAAGACTATATTGTTCCACAATATGTCCTTTCTCCGCCGCTTTTTGAATGCTTCCTCTTCGTTTGTTTCATAACAAGTTCCAGTTCGCACTTGAAATTCAACTAATTCTATTACGGTAACAATTTATCATCGATTTCTAAATCTTTGATCAAATCAATTCAACTAAATGTGATCCTTTTAATAAATCTACGAGTTCGAATTCGAAATAGAATTGTTCAATTCTTCCCGCCGTTTCTACAATTATTGGATAGAGAATGAAAATTTGTAATATTCGGATAAACTATTGCAACAAGAGATGAAATAACTTGTTACATATAGGACGTTCAACAGATACATCTTTCCAACATGCTAATTAAAGGATTAAATAAATGTTTAAGTGATTAATGCGTTAATTTGAAACAAATTAAAAAGAGCATTTACCTTCATATAAATTATATTCTATAGGGGTGCATTCAACGAATGTTCTCTGCGTTCATTCATGATATCTATGATTAAATTTAGTCATATTCTATCTACGACACCTCGAAATTTGCCACAAAAGTATTCCAATGCTATAAACATCCACTTTTGATTGTAGATGTTGTACCCCAAAATGCACGTTTCGGATAATGTCCCAAATGCGCATTTCGGACATTAACGCATTTGGGTACAACATAGACATAAGGAGGTTGAAAATCTTCACTAGCAATGATAGGATCTATAAAAGGAACATTTTTTAAATTACATGACATTCCTCCAACTGGCATCACGAAATTTTGCTAGTTTAATATTATCCTGATGTACAAGTATATTTTGAGCATTCTAAACGATATTGAACATATCCATTTTGAGTTATTAATTTGATAATATAAATAGAAAAAATTAAAAAATTAAAAAATTAAATTAACGATATATATATATATATATAATTACCAAGTTACAATGGACTTGATGTTTGCTATGAATGAAAGCAACCGCATTTGCAAGTTGCAATGCCAATTGATACTTATAAGCTTATTTTCCTTTAAATAAGAATGTAACGTTCCACCGTCTGGATATTAAAAAATCAATAAATATTTGTGTGATTGGTTGGTCAAACTTTTCTCTAGTTGAAATTCCATAAAATCGAAGAATATTTGGATGATAATTCTAAATTAATGAATTAATAATATGAAATTTAGATAAGATAAAGTCCTATAATAACGCTATTACCGTTAGCTCATTGACCACCTCTTCAATGGATGATTTATATAAATATTTCATGACCATATCGGTATCTTTCCATTTTTGCTCTAAATTTTTTGGCAACGGACCTGCTATAAATTTCTTTAATATCTTTGAATTAAGGATAATTATAATATTTGATATAATTCTACCCATTTGAAATGAACCTTGGTGTTATTCATTATATTTAATGAGTAATGGAAAAAAAATAGATTAGCTTTTTGAATATATTTAACTTTGATTCTACTTTAATAAAATATATATCGGGTTGTCAATGAACCTTTACTGGCTTTTTTCGAATATTGTTGAGTTTTAGAACGAATAGTAATACCATTATTTAAATTATTATTGATAAAAACCAAAAAGCAAAATGAATTATATGATATAAGTGAAGTTTGTATGTTAGGCGTACCGAAACCAAGTTTATTTCGGCAATCGGACAAAAGATGATTAGTGCAGGTCGATAAATAATTTTATAATCTTCCATCACTCTTTAACCCTTTTTCCACACCTTACCGATTTACATTTATAACGCAGTATTTCACATAATTGGTATAATTAGGAATGGAAATGAAATATCTAAGCATAAAGGTATTTGTTGTCTTTCAAAACTTCGATTCCAATAGAAAAAAATATATTATCAAAGAATTTTTACATATAACCCGATAGATGCCAAAAAAAAAAAATTTGCCGGTTGTTTCCCATATAAAAAGTAATGATAATCGTTTACAATCTCTACTTGATTGCGTATTTCATCCAGGAGAGTCAACGATCGATGAGAAGAATTTTGTCTAATAAACAAACTTCGATTTACAATTTGCAAAGACACTAGAAGAAACAAATAAGCTTGATTATAATGATTTTGATGTAATCAGCAAATATTGGAAAAATATAAATCTTTTTTTTTAGCATAACGACTTGTCGATAGTGGTATAATTCCTTGAATTCATTACAATGATGTCGGTGAGTATATATTCAAGTAGAATTTATCATGGCTAGATTCCAAATAAAAATTAAGAGAAAAAGAATAAGGCCGCGCAAACTTGATATTCGGTTCATAATTTGAAAATGACCTGGTGACCCGGATTTTATTTTTATAAATTTAGTAAAATTCGAACTTTAACTGGCCATATCAGTTAAAATCTAAATATAAAACTCAAAAATTCTATTTTGTTTGACGATGGTACTCCTATAGATGAAAATATAACTAACGAAGATTTTTTTGCAACATTTGCAAATACCATCTAGTTAATTCTAAATAGCGTAGTGTTATCAGAAAAGTCCTTCATTTTGTATGTTAGCGTGATCAGAAAACATTCGAAATCTTCTGTTTCTGTGTTTAACTAAAATAAAAATAATAGTATGTTGATATTATTTCTAAGCATTAAAAATAATTCGTGATAGTTATTGTCAATAGTTTCCTCGTTATATTCTTATAAATCATAGTAAGGCTAAAAGCATCAAAAAGCTTTCCCTAGTATAAACGCTGATGAGCAAAAGTGCAAAATAATCTTTTGTGTTATCCATATTATGAGAACGTAAATTATGAGAATTTATAATAAAAACCTCATGATATTAAGATCGCAGCAAAGCACTGAAGGAAATGATTAGTTGTAAAATACTTGTGTAAGATGTTATTAACAACTGTAGCTTTCTTACCATTAAAATTACATTAAGAGAAACTACATAAAAGTGGGTATTATGGACATGTCAACATTCTCCTCTCTTTTGCAAGTAACCTCTACGAATCCATTAGAATCTTATTACAGTGAACTGAAAAGATCATCATCTTTGACACATGGCTTAATTGATGTAACGCGCCTTTCTTGTTTTTTTCTTCACCTTTATAGTTCACTTTATTTTTAACTTTCATTTTCGTCTCCAATTTCTTAATTTATCATCATTCGTTTACTCACTTGCTTCTTGATTTTGTTTATTTGTTTTTTAAAAACGTTATTAAAGTAATTAATTCTGTCTTTTATTTTAAAAATAAAACTATGAAAGCCGTTTTTATATTCAATATTGATATCTGGATATCAATATCAATATCAATATTTATATTGATAAAAACAATGGTTGTTTATATATGGGCTCTTTGCAATAGAAAGGGAGGAAACTACCAAAAATAATTTTTTTTGCTTTATAAGCTAAATATTATTTTTTTTTAATAAAATAAGTCCAGATTTAACATTAACTCATTAAAAAAATTTATTTTGATAGTTTCTTCCCTTTCTATTATAAAGAGCCTTTAAAAAAAATTGAAATAGAAGAATCAAATAAATAAATAAATAAAGTTTTTAAATTAATCAAATAATAGTAAGAATAATAATAAAATAAAGATTAATACATTAAAAAATAATTTTAGTCACTATATTTACTACTAATAAAATCTGGTCTGATTTAATCTAAAATTATCTAAGAATAAAAAACAATTAATCAAATAAATAAATAAAAATAAATATAATTAATAATCTGAACTAATTACTAAAATAAGAAAAAGAAAAAATATAATAAATTAAAAAAATTAGTCAGATTACCTTTATTACAATAATGAATTAGACAGTTTTATTTAAAAGTTCCATCTAGTTCTTAGCCTAAAGGAAGAAACCAATTGAACTAAAATAAAAAAAAATATAAAAAATATAAAAAATACTAAAAAAAAATAAAAAATCTAAATTAGCTTACCTTTACTATAGTGTTAAAACAGGTAATCTGTTCAAAAATTCCATCTAGTCTTTATCTAAGAGAAGAAATTGATCAAACTTAAATAAAAAAGAAATGAAAAAATATTATAAATAAAATATAATAAAAATCTAGTCAGTTTATCTTTACCATGATGACAAACTAGATAGTTTTATTTAAAAATTCTATTCAGTTTTTAGTCTAAAAAAAGGAACTGATCAAACTAAAATAATAAAATAAAATAAAATATTAAAAAAACTAAAAAAAATATTAAAATCAAGTCAATTTATCTTTATTATAATGATAAATCAGATAGTTCTATTTAAAAGTTCTATTTATTTTTAGCTTAAGAAAAGAAACTAATTAAATTAAAATAAGAAAGCTAAAATAAATATTAAAATATTATTAGCTTATTTTTATCATAATAATGAACTAGATAGTTTTATTCAAATGTTTCTTACCTAATAAAGGAAACTGATTTAACTTAAAATAAAAAAAATTTTTTATTTTTATTTTTTTATTCTTTATTATTCTATTTATTTTTTTAAAAAAAAATAAAAATAGTGAAATTAAATATTCAAAAATCAAATCAAATTAAATAAATTATTTTTTTTTAATTTAAGTTTTTAATAATTGCAATTTTTATTAATAATTTTTATTTATTATTTTTATTTTAATAAATCATGTATTATAAAAAAATCCAAATTAAAAATAAAAATTGTTTAAAAACTATGATATTAAAAAAAATAATAAAGAAACTTAACATATTTTTTTAGTATAATATAGTATATAACATTTATAGTCATCAAAAATTTAGCATAAATTCTAAATGTATCTAGTTTTTTATTTTATTAATTATTAAAAAAATAAGCTGATTTTTATATAGATTAAGTTGTACTCTTTCAAAAAATCCGTCTATATTTTGGATTATAATATAATTTAAAAAGTTATCAGAATTTTAAAATAGGATACATTACTAATATTGACTAAATTTTAGACTAATATTGCAAGGATATTTAATGAATATGTAGCTATTCATATAATAAAATATGTGATTTTATTATATGACAAAGTAATTTCTTTGCATAATCATGTTGAAATTTTATAAAATGCATTATATAAATTGAAAGTTATATAAATTGAACATTAAAATCTATATATAAATTGTATTAAAATATTATTCAAATACATTTAATCGCTATTTTTATATTTAAATTTAAAAAAATACTACCTTTTTCTAAACAAAAAGAAAGTTTAAAGACTAGCTATACACAAAAAATAGTAAATATTATACTAAAAAAACATGATATACAAGCATAAATGATTATAATTTATTAGTATTAGTTGTAAATCATACTGTATCTTAGATAATCTACAAATATGCTGAATATCATAAAAATAATATATGTAAACATGTAATATATGCATTGTTTGATCAACTTTATAATATATGAATCAAATAATTTACTTTTAATATAAATATTATATAGTTTACTTTTTATTACTTACAGTTCTTGAAAAAAGTAATTAGAATTACAAAAAATGTAATAAATAAAAAGCTAGTGATTGAAATTACTTTAAATTTTGCAAATTTGTTATCAAATATGTAAATATTGTGTATACATAATTTTAGCTATTTATCCTATTTACATATCTCACAATCATCCTTTAAGTCAAAAAAAAAATATCATTAAAAATTTAAGCAGTAAAAACCTGAAAACTTTAATACAGCATTTTTAACCACAATTTATTAAGATTAAATAGCTATAAAATTAAAGTTCAGACTAGGCTGATTCATTGAAAAAAAATTTGCTACTTTATAATTCATTAATTGCTGAGAAAATTAAAATTGAAATTTATTTACTAAAATAACCACACTTTTAATAATAGCTAAATGAACAAAATTTAAGATTTTTAATTCAAATTACAATAGTTATAAAAAATTATTATATAAATTATTTAATGTAGATTAATAGTATTTGAATATACAAAAAAATTTATATGTTTAATATTAAAATAAGTACGATTATAATCTGCATTTTGCATGTTATTTTATAGTTAACTTTAATTTTGATTTACTGAAAACTAACATAAAATAGTATCAAAATTTTTTTTATAAATTTACTAAAAGGTATACTTTTTATATTAGTAATTTTTGTATATGAATATAAAAAGCTGTTCATTGATATTTGAGGTATTATATAAAATTTAACAAATTTTTCATTCTTTAAATTTTTAATTTTTTTTTTAATTAAAATGTGATTATGAGACAAGAAGATAAAGTAAATAGCCGAAATTTTATATATATAATATTTATATATTTATCAACAAATTTTTAAAATTTAAAGTAATTTTAATTACTAATTTTTTATTTATTACATTTTTTGTAATTCTGATTACTTTTTTCGAGAACTGTATATTATATTCTATAGTTTTCATTATATGTGTTACTTTTATTTATCAAAAAGTATAGTATAGTACTAGTTAATGATTTATATAAATAGACCTGTAAATTGACCTTAAGTCGACAGAGTTTTACTCAGAGATTGAGATAAGTCTTGGGATACGATTTATAACTCTATAGTTTTAATAAAGTTACTATTTTATACTTTTAACCTTCTTCTTGTCTTTATTATAGGATTGCTTATGATAACCTACTATACAAGTGAATAGTAATAATAAACTGTTTTATTTGTTAATTATTAATTTCTCTTAGAAAAAACCTTTGAGATAATTGTGTTATTAAATTTATTAGTTTTGTTAGCTTGGTTTTGAAATGATTTCAGATTTAATACTAGAAATCCCAATGTTAATTAATGATAATTATGTAAAAGTAAAGCTAAAATAAGTGGCACAGTTACTGTAGCTCACAAAAATGGTAATAGTGGTAATGAATATATCAATTTTGATTTCAAATTTTTTAATGAAGAATGGGATGATGATGAAGATAGTAATTGGAATAAAACAGAGGATTTTATAAAGATAAAGAAGACTAAATTGATTTGAAAATAAAATAATCAATTTAAAAAAATAAAGCGTGAAATATATATAAAAAGAAAGACTCAAAATCAATCCATTATAATAAATATAGATCAAGTGCCTCATTTACTAAGGCAGCTGCTGATATTAAAAAAATTACAAATTTTTTTAAAGTTAGAGGTAATGCTCAAGATAAAGTCTAAGATTCAAAATTAGAAAATATAGAATCAGATTTAAGTGATTTAAATGGTGAAATAAATTATCATACTTATCAAATTAATGAAAAAATCCAGTTTTTAAAAGAACAATTAGAAAAGCAACATAATAAAATAACAGTTATTGAATATAATTAAAAAATAGCTATTTTTAAATATCTTATTCGTTTAGATAATAACAGATTTGAAAAAAATACATGTTAGTTTAAAGGTGGCTAAAATAGTTTTATTGATGATGGTCTATAGAAAGTACAACATATTTGATATTTTGCAAAATATTGGCTAACTAATAATGAATTTCTAATATCTAAACAGGGAAAACATCAAAAAATTATTAGAATAATTGATGATGAAGATATAGCTAAAAGATGCTAAATTTGAATTTGTAAATAAAATTATAATATTACTTCAGCTTTATTTAAGAAATTTGTTGGAAAAGAACTATTACCTAGTATTAATATTATAAAAAAAACTATTATCTTAATGATAGCGGTAAAGTGGCTTAATATCCTTAGTTACTCATTTCAACAACATTATTAAGGTATATATTATGATAGATATGAATGAAATAATATTATACAATATCATAAAAAATTTCTAGAGAAATGTTTGAGCATGAGAAATATATGTTTAAGTACAAAGAAGAAATGATAGATTGTATATATCCTAACTTACCTAAAGAAAAGAAGGAATGAATTTTTATAACTTATGATAAATGCATTTTTTATTCTAATAATAGTAAACACAAAATATGAGCTAAAATGGAAAGATACCGCTATGAAAAAAGGAAATAGATGGTCTATTATAAATAGTAAATTCTAACTAAAATCGATAAATATTTACGCATACAATCAGATAATATAAAGAAATATCTAAATATATCTAAGGAAGTCCGATATTATCTCAAATTTGGTAAAAATCAAGAAGAATATTGGACTGCTAAATATCTTTTTGAACAAATTAAACACAAAGCTATACACATTTTTGAAACTTTATATCTAAATTGTATTACAGTATTTGCTTTTGATAATAGTTATAATTATACTGTATTTATAAAGATACTTTAGTTACAAGTAAAATAAATTTAAAGCTAGGTGATAAATAACTAATTATACATAAAACTTACTTTATACCAGATTGCCAGCCACAATTAATGGTATTTTTAGCTACACATCCTAATAAAAAACTTTAAGATCAGCCTAAAAGAATTAAGCAGATATTAATAGAATGAGAAAAATGGCCATCTAAAGGATTAATATTAGAGTGTAAGGGTTATAAAAAAAGGATTCAAGATGCTTCAAGAATTTCTTATTATACTCATCAGGTGATATCTTTAGAACCTGATTTTCTTACACAAAAAGAAGCAATTGAAGAATTAATTACAAAGGCCAGATATAAATGCATCTTTATTCAAAATTTTATTGCAAGTTAAACTTTTTGATAGGTATTAAATAGCTTCTAAAAAATATGCACGAGAAAATTGTGAGAGGGAAGAGGGCAGTTTTCACTAAGGAGTGGTAGCCTTTCCAGTACCTTTTTGCTATATTACTTTGTATTCTTTTTCTATTTCTTGTATCTCTAGATTATAATTACTAATTATATTTCTTGCCTATCTGGAGATTTCACAATCTCAGAAATACTATTTTATAATCTTACTTAGCTATACTCTTTGAAATCTTATAAATACTAACTTGTTTTTTTATTTAGCACGAATTGTTTGAATGCAAATAAGCTTTCTGTATGTGGAATGAAGTAGAGCGGTAAGCAAATTGTGAATACAATAAGTAGGCAGATGGTATGCAAATCATAAAGCAAATATGAATGCCAAGTCTGCAGAGCAAAGCGAAGCATATACACAAGATATGTTCACAGGAGTTGCGAAACACTGAAGGTGCGAAGCATATATATACAACATATGTTTACATGAGTTGCAGAGCACTGAAGGTGCAGAGCATATGTACACAAAATATGTTCACAGGAGTTGCGGAGCACTGAAGGTGTGGAGCATATGTACACAAGATATATTTACAGGAGTTGCAAAGTACTAAAGATGCAGAGCATATGTACACAAGATATATTCATAGGAGTTGCGGAGCACTGAAAGTGTAGAGCATATGTACACAAGATATGTTTACAGTCTGTGGAGCACTAAAGGTGCGGAGTATATGTACACAAGATATGTTCACAGTCTGCGGAATGCTGAAAATGCGGAGCATATGTACACAAGATATATTCACAGTCTGCAGAGCGTAGTGGAGCATATACACAAGATATATTCACAGGGTTGTGGAGTGAAGCGGAGTAGTCCTCCTTGTTCTTTGAACCATAGGGTAAAAAAAAATTAACTATATATACATCCTGAAATCTATGATTGAGGGAGCAGAATATATTTTATAAAAGACTTCTATTGCCTAGAAGCTGTAATATAGAATCTTGTCTCAGCTTTTTTCATTATTGGGCTACTAGGTCTATATAACCAGTCTCAGACATATTTTTGGATTACCCGGGATGCTTGATCACATTTTTTGTCCTGAAGTTTTTGGATTATCTGGGATACTTGATCTAATTTTTCGAGCTGAAGTTTAATTTTATAATAATTAGCTTTACTATAATACTTTCTAGCATGTCTCGTACACATTTCATAAGAAGAAGCTGTTAAGGCATCACATTGACCACAAGGGATATGAGATCGCTTTTTCTAATGAATGTGACATCCTTCTTGCCGATAACATTTACTTCCACATACATGACCATTGAAATAGGTATATGGACAAGAATAAAATGCCATTTGTATACTAAATAATATTCTAACAATTTGCTTTGTAATCAATTTTACAAATTAAATATTTTCTGAGATTATTAAAACGAGATGACATCTAATATTATGGATTCAGATAAAAGAAAGAAATCTTTATCTCAAGTGATTCCAAAGAGCTAGCAAAAAAAATGGAGAAAGCATTGCTAGAAGTATTGGAAATGGCAATATGTCAGAATTTTAAAGAGAGTAGTAAATTTGTTAGAGATCATCTTAGCTATGTAAAAAAAATTGCGATTGGCAGAAAACCCTGACGAATATGCTAGATATATTGTAAGAAAACTAGTTTCAGATGAAATATCATATAATACAAGATTAGAGAAGATTCAAGCATAGTATCAGGAGGAATTACGTACTAAACTAGAAGAATTATATAGTCTTTATTATGAAATATCTCAGAAAGAAAAGTGTGAAATATTTAAAGATAATGCGAAAGAAATTATTCAAGGACTTCTTAACATGTCACTTACAGATGATTAGCTTCGCTAATGAAACTAAATATGCAAAGCTGATAACTTTTTTAACTTATTAGCATCCACTGAGGTGGAAATTCAGTATCATGAGGAATTACTAGTAATTTTTCACGTACAAATGATCATTCAGAACTATTACTTTATTATCTATAAGCCAATAAAGAACTGGCTGATTTTTTTTGTACTAGTAATTTTTTAATATGGTAAACTTGTGGAAACCAATTTTTATCAGTTGCACGTCATTTACTATCTCCTTCCAGCTCACTAGGTTTAAGTAAATATCTTATTAAAACATAATAAGTTAATCGCAGTTCATCATAGCCTATAGGCCCTTCTCATGTTTTAGAAGACTGAGAAATGACCTGCTTCTTTTTTATTGCCATAACTGGAAATAAACCTATAAGTTGAGTTATAGAATTATTAATATCTTCTACAATTATAGGCAGATTCTTTACCTAAGCCCAAAATTTTTCAGATAATGCAATGTTAATAAGTCATGCGCATCTTGCATATGAAATAATCTCTTAGATAAAGTCTTGTTATAACTTTCAACGATATTCATAGTACGTTTAGACTTAGCCTTCTGAATTTTTACACCATGCTTTCTCATAAATTTCTCACAATCACCCCTGAACTCTAGTCTCCTATCTGTTAAAAATGTTTCTGGCCAGACAAGAGGGCACTCAGGATCATCATAGATTTTCTCAAGAGCTCGAGCAATAGTTTTTGAAGTTAAGATTCCCTGCCTATCTTTGATACTATATGCACCAATAGAAATAGATACTTTATATCTTGAAGTCACGTCTACCACATTAAGGCAAAAAAGATAGGTAACTCATCCTACTTTATCATAAGGCATGTAGAGAACATCTGCCTGGTAAACTTTATTAGGAGTAGTAATAGAGCAAAAACTTGCTTGAGGAATATATTTAGGACGAGACTTATGTATCTGATGTACAGCCTGTCTTTCAAGCCAATCCTTAACTTCGTTTAGACTAAAATCATACCTAGCTTTTTGAGAGGCTTTGTGTAATTTTTTTGCATTTCTTTGATAGCCAACTGGCTGGTAGTAAAGTTTCTGTAAAACAGAAATAACATCAAGTTTTCAAGCTTCACCCAAATCTATTTGAATAATAGAAATCAATATAGATCCAGCATATATCAAAATCCTAGATACTAATAAAGAGTTACGCAAAGACTTAGAAGATAAAATAACTGAAAGCAAACTTAAGAATAAAAAGCTAAAATCGCTTTCTAGGGAGCTAGAAAACTGTTATAAGACATTATCTCATCAGGATTCAACAATACTAGCCCACGAAGATGAGATAGAATCCCTTAAGTCTGAGATAAAATCTCTGAAACAACGTCTCTACAAAGCATTGCAGGATTTAAGGTATAAAGGTGATGCCAGCACAGCTCAAGATATTCATATTTTAAGGCTAGAAGACATGGTTGAACAGCTTAAAAAGCGAATTAGGGAGATCACAGATAAAAAATTATCCCAAATAAATAGTTCACCAATGGCACTACCAGATATCTTAATAAATATTGGGACGGCTTTAGATCGGATTGAAGGATATATCAATGGCGATACATCATTTGACCCAAGAAATACTCTAAATGGAATACGGATCTCAATAACAACTATCCGAGAGCATATGCAAAGACATGCTCAGGAAAATGCGAACTTACAAGGGTTACTCAATGCATCTAATGAGCAGAGCAATAGGATTATGAACGATATGACAAATCTTAGAAATGATTGTCTTCGAAGGGCACAAATGATGGAGCAAGCATGGAGGGATGAAAGACAAGCCCGTCAACAAAGAGATGATGAAATCAATAATCTTAGAGATACGGTATGTGAAAATGTTTATGAAAAATGTTGGTGGAAGAGAAGATATATTGCATGTACTCAGCAAGCCCAAAATCTGAAATGGTATTATCGACAAAGCAGAAATGATATAGGATTATTAGAATATAATCGAGATCGAGTATATGATCGATATGAAAAATGGAAGGCTAAGGAATTTAATTCGAGGCAAATTATAATTAATTTACAAAACAACCCTCTAGGAAACATGGCAGAGGCTAGACGTCAACCAATATATAATATAATAGGACCTATTTTTGCTAAACATGAGCAATATACTGGGCAGGAACCTCCTAATGAATACTTAGATAGAGTTTGGAATTCCATATCTCATTTAGAGCCAAATATGACTGCACTTGAAACTGCCAATATAGGAGACTTTAATGATGCGATTAAATTTGGTCTTTTAAAAACCAAGTTAGGAGGAAAGTATATACCAGTTCCAGCAAATGATCCCTATGCTAACCCTGTAGCTCCTATTAATTCTCCAGCTACATTAAGAGCATGGATGAATGCAAAATATCAGCGTGAAAATATAGGTACCCAACAATCAGCAATTCAGAGATTATCTCAAGAACGATTTTTACCAACAGATAGTCCTGATACATATGAAAAAAGAATTCGACCATTATTGTTAGGTGTGCCAAATAACGATGCAACAGCTCTAGCATTTCTAAAAAACCACTTATCAGGTGATTTCTATACATGGATGAAAATTGCTGGTCCTAATGATATAGATGCATACTTTATAGAATTAAAGAATCTATGGCTAGAACGTAATCCATGTGTGAGTATACAAATACCTATAGTATCTCAGCCAATACAACCTATTCTTACACCACAAAATGATACATTAGCTGAAGGGAATAAGGCACTTGAATTAGTAAAACGACTGTCAAAGGATTTGGATTATTCAGG